GAAAAGTTATCACAGAGTATCTATTCAGCTATATAAAAAAAAGTTACAACTAAAACACTATTCTTACATTCAAAGTTGACAAAGATTGGAATAAATACTTAAAACAAAGGTTGAAAAATAAGAGTCACTTACTTTTCCATTTTTCGGCTGCCAAGCAAGTCTGCAGATTGATTTTGCATTTATCACATCATTGCATTTTTGTAGCAGTGGCCAATTAATAGCACATGTCTGGTTTTTTAAAAAAGAAAATTTATTTTCCTTTATGAAAATTCCCCCCAAAATATATGCAGAACTAAATACATTTAATAGGTTGTTTCTTCAAATTGATATATATTTCAGAAAAAAGCAACTTTATGCACTTTAATTGTAATAATATCTGATTTACCTAAATTGCTTAAAGCCCTGCAGAGGTATAAAGAGTACAAATCTTAAATAATTAAATTAGGTAAGAGTACTTCCTGTGCAGAATAAGCAAACATACTCAGTGAATAAACATACATATAGAAAACCCCAATATGTTAAAATCTTAAAGTGTCTACAAAAATAAATAAAAATTTAAAGGTCTACTATAAAACATTAAGGTGTCAAAGTCAGTCTTTTTGAATAGTTCAAGAATGAAGGGAAGGAACTGTGGCTACTAAGGCATATCTGCGGGGGATATTTTTCTTGTCAGTCACATTATCTCTAGAAATGACAAGGTATCTCTGATTGCCTCAGGAAAACTTAATTGTTCCCTCTGCCAATCAGAGAGCACTTTCTTTCATACCTCCTTTAAAATCTTTATCAGGCGAGGTTAAGTTATATCTGAGACTTTCCAAATTAAGTGTGGCCAATGTCTTATTTTATTTTTGTATCCCCAACATCTAACACAAGGCCCAACACATGGTAGTTATCTTGTAAATGTATAATAATTAAATTTACTGCCTTGATTTACAAAGCTTAAAAATAAAATATTAATCTATCATTCTCCTTGTGATTTGGTATAAAGGCAATTAGTCTTCAATGTATTTTCTTTTGCATTAAGTTACTGTGGAATTTGATCACAAAAACAACATTAATGCTACTCAAAGAATTCTAAAGAAAAACAATTATTAATTTGGTCCAATAATACAATATGTAAAACCCAACATATGATGGAAATGAACAAAAAGTTTTAAATTTAAATTGATGATTTTACCTGATCTGAAATTTGCCACACTCTGACAGATCCATCACAACTAGATGATGTCTGCAGGAACAAAGAATAGATTTCTAATAATACTATATGAAAATACCACATGGAAACTGGTTCAATTGATTAAATCAATCAACCTTTTATCTACTGGGTGAAACTTTCTGCTAATTCTCTTACAATTTTTTAAACACATTCAAGAAAAACACAAAAAGAGAGGGGAAAAAATAATTACCAGAAAGATGTCCTTAGGATCAAAGGAAAGACTTAGAACAGGGGCATCATGTCCTCGAAATGTTTTCTGTTGGCTGCTATCCATCACATCCACAATTTTGACTAGGAAATCACTATGAACAATAGGAGTAATGCATGTGAATAAATGCCAATACTAAATGCCTCTCCTAAAAGCTATGAACCAAATATTTCAAAATCACAAGAGTAAATGCTATAATTTCTTTATAGTAACTTATAAAATTTGGCACCCAAATTTAATGACTTATCTTTTAATTTTGCTCTATTAAAGATGCTGAAAACCCAAGTCAAGATTTCCCATTATGTTAAAATACAAATACTTCCTAAATGGCTTCTTTAGTTACATTTTAAGCTTCTATTATTTGCTAATCTAGTAACAGCCGCACCATTTAAAAAAGTACCATGCCTTTAACTTCACGTCAGAAATTCAACCAATTATATTTTCTTCCCATGAAAAGCATCAAGGGAAACTGTAAAAATTCTGGTTGTACAGTCTAAATTCCAACTAATTTTTAAAAATATTGTATCAAGCTATCTTTTCAGCATTTATTGAATAGGCCATCTATAAAGCAATATATTTCAATTCACAAAGAAGCACAAGTTTGTCTTCATAAACCTTTACTAAAGACTTGACTATAAAAATGAAACAGGCTGGGCGCGGTGGCTCACGCCTGTAATCCTAGCACTCT